CCCGCCGATGGTCACCGCGGTGGCCTCCGCCATCGGCTACCTCCCCTACGCCTTCTACGGCGTTTCCAAAGGGGCTCGGCTGATGACATCCGTTTCCGGTGGTGGTGGTGATCATCATCAGCAGCAGCAGCAGAGCCTTCATCTTTTTGAGGACCAGGCGCCCCGTTTCCGCTTCCACCTGGGCGTCTTCTTCTTCCTCCTCTGGCTGACGCCCTTCCTCCTGCAGATGGCCACCCTCAAGCGGGAGCAGTACCGGAACAATGTCCTCATTAACAGGTGGCACCTGCGTAATGTTCGACGGGCTCTCGGCGAAATGGATGGGCATGAGGAGGAGGAGGTGGAGGAAATAGCTCCCGTTCCTGCTGCTGAAGCTGTTGCAGATGGTCCACTAGATGATATTGATGATGAGGAGGAAGTGGATGGACATGGTGAACAACAAGAGCAGCTAAATGAGCTCGACAATCTGGAGATTGATCCCGATTTTCTACTGCTGTAAAAAAAGTGGTCGGCAACAAAAACATTCTCCGACAAACTGAGAAACTGGGTAAAAGGGGGTATTGTTCTTAAAATTAAACAATAAAAACTCTTAATTTAAAATAAAACTTAAAACAGTAAGAGAAAATGGTAAAACGACAGGGAAAACTGAAAACACATTTCCTCCTCCGATGACAAACTTTACCACAATCATTTGTTCACTTTTTACCAAAGAGCAGCAGCGACTTGCTCTTGGTCGTCTTCTGCGGCACGACAATCTTCCCAAGGAGAATGCGCACCTTGTCCTCGTCCTCGCTGGACTTGACCACCGACTGACTGCCGCCATTACCGCTGCCGCCGCTGTTTGAACCCTGCTGAAGCGCCGACTGCTGCTGCTGCTGTTGCTTTTCAGCATCGGCCGCCGCCGCTGAGGCCGAGGAAGACGACGACGAGGAGGAGGAGAGCAGCGCCGAAGAGAGCAGCTGCTGCGGCTTCGACTTTGAGATGTGAAACTTGTGCTTGAGCGCCTGCGACAGCAGCACCCGCTTCGAGTCGTTCTTCAGCGCCATCAGCAGGTCGAGCCACGTCCACGTCCGATTGTGGTACTCAAAGGTGGGCAGAATGAGATTGACGTCGCGCAGGTCCTCCAGGTTCTTATTTTTGTTGCCCTTGTAGCTGATGCGGATCGGCACTTCGGGAATTTTGATAAAGACAAAAGTCTGATTTTTGGAGGCCCGCTCGCGCATCTTTTCAATGTGCTGAAAGGAGGTGGTCGGATTCGACTTTGAGGATGACTTAAAGTTATAAGAAGAGAGCGAGCTGGCGAGACTCAATGTGCTCTCCTCCTTCTTCATCGCTGCGGCCGACGCCCCTTTGCCCTTTTTGCCGGCCTTTTCCCCTTTTGAAGATGAGGAGACAGAAGTGATTGTGGAAATGGAGCCCGCTGAAGAGATGGTGTCATCAGCGCCCACGCCAGAGAGGCTATCAAAGCCCGAGTCGCCGGCCATGCTGCCTACAGTGGATGACCCAAAAGCAGAGGGAGCGTTTCCAGCACTGCTGCTGCCTACCCCAGTCGTCGAGGTTACCGTAGAGGACACCTGTTGCTGCTGCTGCTGCTCCTGCAGACTAGTACTTCGCTCGGGAAAGAAAAACTTGAGCATCTTCATGAAGAAGGCGTACGTCAGACCCACAGTCAACGGGATGACGTTCACCTCGAGGTGCTCCTTCACCGAGATCCCCCCGACGGGCGCCTTCTCAATGCAGATGATGCGCAGCGCCCGGTGCTGGTCGACGGGCATGTTCGGCTGCAGCTCCGTCGGCTGCAGCACCTCCCGGTACACCTGATTGGGCATCTGGTTCTTCACGCTGACGTAGCCCAGCTCAAAGGAGTGCTGCACCGAGTCGTCATTTTTGCTCACCTTCGTGTAGAGAAAGTTCTGCAGGACCATGTCGCAGAGCATCAGCTGCCCGTCAATGTCTGTCAGCCGCCAGCTCGCTTGCTTGAAGCAGACCTCATTGCGGCGCACCACCTGGGCGAGCAGGTCCCGCGACTCCTGGGCGGCCACCTGGCGCTCCTTGGTCTTCGAGGCAATCAGCTGCGCCTCCTTGTAGCAGTTGATCATGATGCTGAGGTCGTCGCCGACGCGCGCCAGCTCCTCCTTGCACTGATGGAGCTCCCACTCGGTCTCCTTCAGCGAGGCGGCCAGCTTCGCACTTTCCGGATCGTCACTTGCCGTCATCATCGAGCTCAGCTTCGAGGATGAGGGCTTCTTTCCTCCGCCTCCTCCTCCAATTGTCCCACCAGAATTACCAGTACTTCCACCACCACCTACTCCAGCAGAACTTCCACTTCCGCCTCCTCCGTGGTGATTCTTGCGCATATAGTAGTCCTCCTTCTCCAGCGCCTTGATGCGCGTCAGCAGCAGTCGAACCTTGTCCTGCAGCTCCGAAATGGGGCCTCGCTGATCCTCCAGCGAGTTGAGCTGCATGCTGAAGCGAATGCGCTGCTGCTTCTCAAAGACCTCCTTCTTGTGGGGCACGTAGAGGAGGAGGTTGTTCACCAGGTCCATGATCATGGCAAACTGCTGCGAGTTGGTGCTAATCTCCAGGTGCTCGTGCGTCAGCGTAAAGGTGTCCACGGCCACCTCCTTGTCCCAGGGCTCCAGCGGGAGGAGGTCGTCGGCGGGCAGCGGGGGCACCTCCTCGTAGCAGCTCGGGTCGGTGTTCTCCCCGTAGCTGGCGTAGAAGAACTGACAGCGACAGCGGGAGACGATGCGCTGCATCTGAATGGGCACCTTCACCACCACTGAAGGTGGCTCATTGATTCCCGGAAGTGAGCCGTTCCCAGCCGAGCTGGCCGTCGTCGAGCAGCCGCCCGCCTCCGAGTTGACCACCCCGCCCACCGACCGCCCGCTGCCCATCACCGTGTCCGGATTCTCCACTATGTTCTTCCGCCCACTGGCCACCTCCTCCTCCTCCTCGCCGCCCTGCTCCTCAATGTCGTCCAGATTGAGCCAGGTAATGTCGTCGATGCGCAGCCCGCCGGCGTCCACCGTCGCGTAGTACTGCATGCACTCCAGCGACCCCTGCCAGGTGGTCTTCGAGTAGAGCACGCGGTTCTTCCACACCGGCCGGTGAATGCGCTGCGTCACCGAGGTCTTCGCCGCGCTGACAATCACGTAGCCGTCCGTTTCGCAGCCCCGCAGCACCACCTGCGAGTTGATCAGCTCAATGAGCCAGTTGTTCAGCAGGAGGTCGTGTGTCTGGCAGCAGGCCTCAATGCCGTACAGCATCGGCCGGTCGGAGCCGACGCCGTTTTCAATCTGCTCCGTGTCGGCGACGTTGCTCTCCGACTCCACCTCGGCTATGAGCTTCTGCAGCATGTTTGCGGCGTTGCCCTTTGACAGGTGGTGCGACGAGTGCTGCTGGTGATGACCACCTCCACTTCCATATGGACTGCTGTTCTTCTCAAACTGACCACCAGGTTTAGAAGGCGATCCTCCGCCACCGCCACCGCCGCCCAGCTGGTCCTTAAAGAGGCGCAGCGCCTCCGTGGAGAGGTTCCGCTTGAGCAGTTGCGTCTTAAAGTAGGAGTCGAAGAGCGTGAGGACAATGTCGCGGTTGTCCTTCGTCCACGCCCCCTTCAGGTCGTGCACAATGAGGCGGTGGATGGGCGCCTGTTCCTCCTCCTCCAGCGCCATGGCGGCGGCCACATGGGGCGGCACCTTCGTCTCGCGATTGTAGGAGACCTTGTGCAGCTTGAGGAAGAAGAAACGGGCCGCCTCGTCCTCACGTTCACCTCCGCCACCAGCACCAGGACCAGTGCTCGCCGCCGCCGCGTCCACCTTGTAGAGGGTAATCTCCACACTGGACAGCTCAGAGTTCATGTAGATTAGCTCCCAAGAGGGCTTGGGTCTAGAAGGAGGGGAAAAAGGTGTTAGTTATCTAGTTAAAAAATTCAACAGCAAAACCTAACATACCTGTGAACCAGCCCGTCATTAATCTTGACAAAAGTTTGCCGGTGCTCGGCACTGTGCGTCAGGTTGCAGCTGGAGATGCGAA